AAGACTTTAAATAGTGGCATGTCAGTTGACATGGAAGACAGAGAGGGTAAGGCCTCCGAGTCTAACTGAGTCGTGATACAGTCTTTGACTGTAAGTGACGTCTGTCGAACTCTCTGTGTTAGCAGAGAGGAACCCGGACGAAGCTTTGCCGAAAGGCAAGGTTTCGTCCGGGGAGGTTGACAGGGCCTGGACCCGTCTAGGCGGGTTCAAAGGCTATATTTTTGGCCGAGCCTACGGGCTCGGAGATACCCACATTAAACCGGCCTTGTGCCATATTCAATCCTCGTGGGTGGATCGATAAATACAGACAGATAGACAGAGAAGTTCTTAGCTGAGCTAGTTATTGACTAATCAGGCGATTTCTGTACCTTTTTACCAACCTATTGTTACGTGTTATTTGGTGTTTGTCTCTACTAACCCCAAATCAACATCATAACACTAACTAAATAAAGGTTTTGGGTGTAAAAAAATAAATCTTATCCTGCCTCATAATTTTGTATTAAATCGTCAGTTTTAGTTTCGCACTTTAAAAAATTTACCCCACCTCATATTTTTAAACTAAAAATCGAACTTGAAACCATGGCTGTCGGTAATGTGTTAGTCACCTCGGATTTCCGAAAATGGATAATCCCCTGATGTGTTTACATAACCCAATTTAAAAATGCTTATATACTGCTGAAAAAAGAACATAATAAGCAATCTCCGTCACAATATTCATTAAATTTTGAATTGAAGATATAATTATTAATTGAAATGAAAATTAGAATAAATTAGTTACACAAACATATGTTGAAAATTGAAGGGGAAACACACCAATGCTATAATAGAGAAAAATTTTATTCATCAAAAATAACTACAATATATTTCTATGAATAGAAAGATATTAGATTAGCTAAGCTCATAATTACAGGATTAAAATAATAATAATAATAATAATAATAATAATAATAATAATAATAATAATAATAAATGTGGCATATGGGAACATCAACAATCCCTGTTGTAGTTGGAGCCCTAGGACTGGTTGGAAAAGATTGCAGTAGACTAATTGAAGGGATTCCTGGAAGTCCATGCCTCAAGGAGATACAAAAAATTGCTCTGACAAGTACAGCCCACACTTTACGAAGGGCTTTATCTATGTAATTTTTTTTTTTTTTTTCAGTGGAAAGTGTCATGACGCCATTTCTAACCTTAGGTCCTGGGGGGACCCGGAAAGAAATGTAAACGCCAGAAATCAAAGAAAATAAAAATAATAATAATAATAATAATAATAATAAAGTGCTTGTTAACTATAAATTATCAAGCACACATACTAAAATATAGCATTAGCCCAAAATGCAGGTTCTGTGATAATTACCCAGAAACAATTGATTATCTTGTATCAGGTTGCACTGTTTTGGCACCCATTGAATATAAAACCCGGCATGACAGAGTTGGCCAATATCTGCACTGGAAAATCTGTATTTTCTACGGGAAGGAAACTGAACTTCTACGGGAAGGAAACTGAAAGAAAGTGGTATGAACACCACCCAAACCCGGTTACGGAGATGGGGCTGTTAAAAGTTTTGGGGACTACACAATACACACAGACAGAACATCAAAGCTAACCGCCAAGACATTGTTATTAGAGACTGCAAACAACAAAAAAAAGCCTCCTTATTGATATGGCAGTACCTGCAGACTGCAATGTATCTTTGAAGATCTTCAAAAAGCTATCAAAATACAAGGAAAATACCTTGAACTCGACATCTCAAAAATGTGGCATGTCGCAGCATCAACAATCTCCGTTGTAGTTGGAGCCCTCGGATTGGTTGGAAAAGATTCCACTAGACTAATTGAAAGGATTCCTTATAGCCTACGCCTGAAATAAATACAAAAAATTGTTCCCACGAGTACAGTCCACACCTTACGAAGGGCTTTGTCTATATAAAATATGTTTTTTGTTTGTTTTGTTTTTTCAGTGGAAAATGTCATGATGCCATTTCTAACCTTAAGTCCCTGGGCGGGATCCGGAAATAAATGAGTACACATCAGAAATCAAAGGAAATAAAATAATAATAATATTATTATACAAAGAATAATTAATCATGAAAACTTACCTTCGTTGGTCTGGTGGAGTGACAGGACACCCCGAAAGCGACGACTGCGACCCACGGCAACTGAGTTACAACTGCGCCACGCCGTGTGCTACATACCCTCACAGGGAGCAAAAGAAACAAGTTGCCAGCTACTTGAAAAAATTGGGGTAACAAAACATCCCAAGGAATACACCATCAAAATCTCTCACCGAATACAAGTTGAACATGGGACAAATAGGTCTTTTTTGTAACACTAAAACCATTGATTTAACAATTACTGTATTTCAACTGTCAGAATTCGTTCATATCAATCAGTTTTTAATATTTATTGAGTCGGCAAAAAAATCAATATCCGTTTATAGTGATTTTTTTTTCTAAAACTTCGTTGTTGCTCACATGTTCGGTATATTATATATTCAACATCATTCTGTAGAACCACATTTCTGCCTTCTCATCTATGAGGTATTCACTGCCATATAGGAAGACTGATATTGCATAACAATTCAATACTCTTTTCTTTGTTTCCAACGAAATAATTCTGTTTAATACTTTACTTAACTTTTGGAAAGCATCAATATTATTACTATTCTGGGTACTTCGACATGATGTAATGATTATCAATCATATATCAATTACGATTGAATTGTGAGTTCGATCCTCACGGAGTGTCCCATATTTTCGGCCTTGTTCCACATATAAGCTACACTTAGAAAATTACCATTATTATTAACATTCTAAAAAAAAAACTTCTTTTTATGTGCCGTGATCCCCCAGGACGTAGGCGATCATGGCTCTCCACAATTTTTTGTCCTTTGAAACGCTTAATGAATTTTGTTTTTTGTTATTTCTCCTAAACCCTGTTCCGCTATCCATTTACTCAAGATAACTAAGTCTGTTATGTGTTTCTTTCCTCTGTCCCTCTTGCCTTCAGTCTGTCCTGTGAGTATCTGATTTTTCAAGCCGTTTTTCCTCATTTTCGTCCTAGAAATCTCAAAATGTCCCCCTATCCTTTACTTGACATATCATCAAATAGTAGGTAAATTTACTTGCTTTTTTTCTGGTAATCGCATTCATATATTTCATTGGAACGGCACCAGACATCATCTTGCCTAATACAGATTCACGATTGTTCACTAAAACCTTCCAGGCATGGCCGCTTATCTGTAATCCATTGTAACGTGTTTGTTTAGTGTTGGTTTTCATTTAGCCTCTATATCAATTACATTCCATTCAGTTGATTTCTTACAGTCCTCTCCTGGTTATGACGATAAACTACATCTGCGTCCTGGGTAAGATGATAAACTATATCCGCGTCCTGGGTAAGACGATAAACTGCATCCGCGCCCTGGGCAAGACGATGAACTACGTCCAACAGCAAGGCCTATGATCAGGGTTTTTTTGCATTGAACCACCTCTTAATTGTTAGTGTTCCCACGTCCACCCTGACCAGGGGTGGTAGCGCCTGTTAGGGTCTCAGCTATGGGCAAATAATTAAACCCCAAACTGGGGTCGAAACACTATGCAAGTGTAAAAATAGGTTTTAATACCAGAAATACTTTGTAAAAAAAATATTTATTATCAGCAACACATTTTTGAAAACAAAAAAAAACGATATTATCAGCTATACATTTTTGAAGAAAAAATATCAGAAATAAAAGTTTTGTCGGAATTGGGGTTGATATGACGTGAAACAAACCAAACCAAACAGTTCTGTCACCAATACTGATCCCTGATTCTACCTAATAGTATTTTATTTATTGGATACTTTTCTGTTTGTAATGTTTTTTAAGCCTGACTTTTTGATCTCTTCTGTAGTCAACTTTTCCTTGTATGTATTTTCTGTTTTATTTATATTCGCAGCAATTTTTAGACTCAGCTGACTGGGAACAACTAGCATGCTCTCTTATAGACCGTATTAGTTTTTTTCTCAAAAGAGTTTTAAAACCTTTTACAATATTTTAATTGACAGCTTTCTTGGTGAAGCCATCTTGCTTTTCAATTAGCCAAGTGCAACAGATTCGTTAAAGTCTACAATGCTTGTAACCACAAACTGATTTCCAACATTGACTTATGCTGACAAATGCAAATTACAAGGTGATTTTATCCTTTTCATCGTTTTTCTTCAACATTGAGTTATTTTATATTTTATTCATGACTTGATTTGGAGTAAAATGACTAATTTGTCTCAAATAGATTTCAAGTAGCCAGAATGTTCACGTATATTTCAAGAAGCCAGAATCTTCAGGTATATTTCAAGAAGCCAGAATCTTCAGGTATATTTCATGAAGAGAGAATCTTCAGGTATGTTATAGTGGAACACACCTATTCTATAGCTAATAGACTCTCCCGCCTATAATAAGTAGGAGTAGTAGGAGTCGCTCAGTGAGTTGGTCAGTCAGTTGATGTCGGACGACCGTTAGTCGGATATTAAAGTATCAGCGACCACGACTAGATTTCTCTGCGTCATTACCTATTATATCAAGTTCCTAACGTTTTTGTACGTCGAACCTTTTTAGGACCGACTTAGTGAAATACAAACCTCCACTGTGAAACTACTCTACAACAAGGTATATTTCAAGTAGACAGAATCTCCAGGCATATTTCAAGAAGCCAGAATTTTCAGGCATATTTCAAGAAGCCAGAATCTTCAGGTATATTTCAAGAAGTCAGAAACTTCAGGTATATTTCAAGAAGCTAAAATGTCCGGGCATATTTCAAGAAGAGAGAATGTTCAGCTGTTAAATAATCATTACATATTTCCGAGTTGTTTATTTGCTGCGAGGTAAAAAGAAATAAATAAAAGTTGCACTAACATCCTTTAGGTGTGGTTATTCCACAATTTTTGTCAGGAGTTTTGTATGTATATATATGCGTGTGCGTGTGCGCACAGAACTCCTGGCAAAAATTATAAGAGAGAGAAAATTATACAGAGAGAGAGAGAGAGAGAGAGAGAGAGCGGGGAGCGAGTTTATACAAACGTACGTGCGCAGAAATCACTAACCGTCTCTCACGGCATTTGCTCTAAGACGCTGTTTATAAAAAGAGTTTGATTTCCTTTATCAAAAGAATTTCAACCGGTTCATATTTTTTGCTTTCAGATTGTCAAGAATATCTGACCACGTGTTGTTAAATCTAAGAGAGCGATGCCAAAGTTATAATCTTGTTTTTGCGATCTGAATTCGCAAGATAAATTCTTGCCAATACGAGACAGCGCTGCGACAGAAAAGGAGCTGAGATTCTTGTGCAGACGATGACTTCAGAAAGATACAGGAAGAGAACCATTCAAGTAGACATAGTTTGCATTTTCCCCACTTGCGATTGTCTATTCATCATCCCGTAAAATGTGCCGTTTAGGTGAGGCTGTCATTGAAACTCTTTGTATCTGATACAGTCACATCAAGGTGATATTAGAAACCTTGAGAATGCGTTTTGGGACTTTTCTTGAAGCTGCCAAATTCAATCTTCTAGGTGGACCTCTGATTAATTACGTATTACTTGAAAAAGACATTGAATCAAAACCGAAAACGTTCTTTTATGTGAGAATACACATTTCAGCTTAAAGTTGGTGTAAATTCATAGAAGGACAGTAAAAAGACTTTCATGAGTGAGTACTGAAGTTATGAAATTATATGATTAAAATTTTTTTGCAGAATAATAATAATATTACAAATAGATAGATAGATAGATAGATAGATAGATAGATAGATAGATATTCGATGATAGATAGATATTCGATAGATAGATAGATAGATAGATAGATAGATAGATAGATAGATAGATAGATATTCGACTACGTTAGATAGATAGATAGATAGATAGATAGATAGATAGATAGATAGATATTCGACTGCGTTAGATAGATAGATAGATAGATAGATAGATATATAGATAGATAGATAGATAACAGAACAGAATGGTATCTTCCTAATACTAACATAAAGAATGAGGTAGATTGATGTAACAATAATTAAAGAGATCTAAGCAAAGATAATTTTGCTAAATACTTTTATTTAATAAGGCCTTAAGGTTCTGCATTCCCTCTGAGGGTCGATAGGTGTCCCTTTGTGCCCATAAACTACACATCTGGGCGGCGCTATTAACCTAATACTAAAATATGATTATTCTTTAGGGACATCAATCTGAGGATGAAAATAGTTATACCATCACCGGTGACACGAAGCCACAAGAAAGAAATATTTTTTATAGTATCCGTGTTTACAAAGCTTACTTTTCATCTAGGCAATTACCCCAACGATCATATCAGCCACGGTCTGGCTGGGAAAATATTTTTCGATCATGACTCAAGATGTTAAAAGCCTATGTAAAACCAAAGTGGATCTGGAAAAGATCAATTCGAGATGGAAGCAAATGCAGTTAGATTGACATGGGCCCAGTTTACCAGAACAGTGTCTGCTGCCATAGTGGGACTACGGCCCTAATAGTTTGTACAAATCAACCATCCTACCTTATTTCAAATGAAGGACTACTAGGGAATATCAGTCGAGAAGAGCTTATCTATATTTTCCTTAATCAATTCACACCAAGCAAGGCGATAATACCACTAAGACAAAAGGAGCTACTGAGAGTGAAAGAATATGAGAAAATGGAAAAAGAAGCCGGAAATTATAATTTATAATCTTACACAGGAAACAAGGAATAAACAAAAAAAGAACAGTGAGGAGTCTGAACCGGGTGAAACTATCTACGCCTATTTTGGAAAAAATAACAACGAGTAACTGTAATTACAAAAAAAGCATTTATTAATCTAGATGTATTGTAATTGATTCACATATATTTCTTTATAATAGGAATATGGTAAATAATAAATATTGCATTGCATTTACAATATATGATTAGTAAATATACTTTTACTTAATAACAATATTTTCTAAGAATTATCACATCGAAAATGAATTTTAAAAGATTTAAAAACTTTATAAATTATTCAACTAAAAATTGTAAAAAAATGAAAACAAATCTTGTAACTTCCTCTTTCGTCGATTTTTTTTCTTCAGACAATATTGTCTTTAATATATATTATTCATAAAAGCAATTAAAAGTTTCTCTAATGCCTTAATTTATTGCATTTTTATTTTTCGATCCAGAACAGATTTTCCGTAAGACGGTTCCGATTTTGCAAAAAAAAATTCAGTGGTTTAAATTCGTCAAAGAATTCTTTTTTTTAACTAATATAGTCACTAAAAATTATCACGTTATATTTCTCAGGTTTTCATAAAATTAATTAGGGCTGAAACACATATAAAAAATATTTTTTACCAAGATTTTCTAATAAAAAACAATCTCAAAAATAATTTCATTCATTTGTGAATAAGTCCTGAAAATGTCATTGAAATCCGATAATTATTTGATTTTTTGCAAGAATTTCCAAATTAATGTGTCTGTCACCACAAAAAAGGCTAAAATTTGTGTTTTAATCAAAATTTCGAATGTTCTAAAAAGCAATAAAAAATTTAATTAAATAATCAAAAATACTTTGATCCTTCCTATTAATGATAACATAACGATTTTGATGATAAAACTATGTTTTCATTTTGAGAAAGTTTTCATCACGCTATGCTGATTTTTAGCGTTTTCGTGGGGGTACCTAGAATAAAAAAAATTTGTCCAAAGTGTAAAAAACTTTGCCATTAACTTCATTTCCAAGATTAGAATTTCAGTTAGAAAAGACATTTGTGTTTTGTTTGTTATTCAAGATTTCATACAAAGAAAATATTAAATTTGACTAGAGTTCCTACCGTAGAATGTTGAACAGTAAACTAGTGTCGTGTATTCGTTCCTCCGCGAGTGTCTCAAAAGCGCGACGTTTGCATGATTAAAATAAAAATTTAGTAAAATCAAAATTAGAAATTTGGTAAAAAATAATGATATTGTAAAAATCGATACTTTGCTTTTGTCTTTATTATGAAGAGAGCAAGGCCTACTGATTTCACGTTCAAACTCGAGTAAAAAACAGAATTTTATATGCTGATTTTTGAGGTAGGTAGGTCCTTTTCATCTGGAAAATTTACACAGCACAATATTTCCTCTACATTTCATCTCTCCTCATCATAACGCAGGCGCCATTTTCCAATCTACAACCTCGTTCCCACAGACGCAATCTAGCAAGGTTATATCTACTGTATCAGCTAAATTTAGTAAATTACTAAATAAGTTTTGCTTTTAAAATCTACATTCGAATTATTTCTTAAAAGCAAAGAATTCGAAATAATTTACCTATTTGCTGGAACAACTCTGATTTACTTTTTTGTTTTGAGGCGGCTTTTAAGTTCGATATCAGGTCTCTTTCTATTTATAGAATTTCTGTTGCAATTATTTCTGAATGAATACCGCATATACTCGAATATAGTGCGAGTTTTTATGATCAAGTTTTTACACAAGAAATAGAGAGTCGCTCTATACACACGTCATTTTTTGAAAAGGTTAAAAATCATGCATTTTCAGTCACAAACGAAAACAAACTTACGGTATGTAAATCTTTCAATCAGATATTTTACGTGGTTTTTCTCGCCATTTTGGGGTAGCTTTATACAAAAAAAATGAAGAGAATTTATTTGCTATAAGATCTGTTCAGGATGATACACAGTACTGCAATATTTGACGACGGTAGGCCAACTAATATTGCACAGAAGCTAGGGTCGCATTATACACGATCTATATGAAAAGATCAGGTTTTTCACTAAAAAATTCAGGGTCGCTATACATGAAGTAAATTTATACACGCGTATATATGCTACATTAAAAATAACTCCGTTGTAATTAGCTAAAGTTTAACTACATTTAAATTTTAAAGTAAGCTTTACTTATATTACTAATCCCTAGTCAGCAGGAATATCGTAGTATCAAATGATATTCGAATAAATTTGCAATTTAGAAAAGTGGAAATTGTTTTTGCGTAATAAAGTTTGAAAATGTTCATGGCCGAAGAGGAAAAGAAAATTATATAATAATCTTCTTTTTTAAGCAATTCACCCAAAGCAAGGCGGGTGTGCCACTAGCACTCAAGGGTTTACAGAGGATTAGGAACAAAGAAAGGATACAGAGAAGGGCGGGGAACAAGCTCAGGGTGTCAGATGTCGATTGACACTACACTTGAATATTTGAAGATTATAGTCATCGGGGAAGCAAGTAAGGAAAGGGAGTTACACAGACAGGAAGTGTAAGAGAAGAAGCTGTTTGAGTAGAAGAGACGGTTACATTTAACTGTTTCGACAGTGAACGGGTGGGACCGAGATGCCAGCCTGGTAGCTCGCTTAAATTCATGCAAATAAATAAGCACAACTAGTCTGCAATTAACTAAACTTCAATTAAATTTAAAGTTATCTTCATTTGTATTACTAATCCCTAATTAGCAGGAATCTCGTTTTATGTTATTTATCTTGTGTTTAATATTTTATATTTATTTTTGAAGATATATGTTTTCAATGTAGAAAAATTGTTTATTTCGTAATAAAGTGTGGAACTATTTACGATGAAAACGGAAGAGGAAAATAAATGAAAAAAAGACAAGAATAAGAATTTCCGTTAATTTTGCAAAATAAATAAAAAAAATATTAAAAGAACATAATTTTTTTTTTACAAAATAAATGAGCGCAAATATTCTGTAATTAACTAAACTTCAATGACATTTAAAATTTCAAGTTAGCATTACCTGGAATATTAATTTCAAGTTAGCATTACCTGGAATATTAATTTCAAGTTAGCATTACCTGGAATATTAATTTCAAGTTAGCATTACCTGGAATATTAATTTCAAGTTAGCATTACCTGGAATATTAATTTCAAGTTAGCATTACCTGGAATATTAATTTCAAGTTAGCATTACCTGGAATATTAATTTCAAGTTAGCATTACCTGGAATATTAATTCCTAATCAGCAGGAGTTTCGTTTTAAAATATTTTTGAAAATATATATTTTCAATTTTAATTTTTTTTCTTAATAAAATGTGAAATAAATGGAAAACTTAATAATCTTTTAATTAAATAAAATTCTGAAAAAAAATTCTAAAGACATAAGGAAATATCTTTTACACAATAAAAATGCCAATGCTTTTGTAACAAATATGAAAAGATACAAAATTGGATAGTTATGATCAGATTACGCAAACGCTGACTTCACGCTATTATTAAAACGAAATTTAGATTTAAAATTGTTTTATTTTTCAAATTAGAGCATTTTCATGGTTTTGCCATGACCAAAATCTTGCTATGATGTGCCGGCGTTTTTGTGTTCGAACTGCAAACAGAAATCGGATCGTTATAGATCATGAAAGGGAATTGTTCACCTAAAAAATCATATGTAAATTTTATTGAATATGTTATACAGAATAAAGTTGGACTGTTATACAGAATAAAGTCCAACCCTTACCTCACAGTCGGTGTGGGGGGTGTAAACGGTAGTGTCAGAGCTATGCCGCCCGGAACTTCGTTCCTGGTAGGGCCACCCAAGGCGGACAGGTCTGACACACACGCCGGCTAACAAGGGCTCTGGTGAAAATCCAAGGAGCGTCTGCATCGGTAACCGGCGGCTTCTGGTCGTTCCTGTCTCTGCGTCTGTGGGAATCCCGCGGCAAGCAAGAACGTTATCCGGGTAGGCCTGGGTACCCTACTTCTGTAATTTATCCCAAGAATCTTCTTCTCATAACAGGAAGAAGCCGGCTCAATCCGCCCAGGGTGAATGCCGCATCAGTACAGTAGTAGTAGTACAGAATAAAGTGTAAAATCTGCACTAGGCCCCCAAACTAATGTCGTGTGATTATGAATCTTGACGCAATACAATCTTTCTTATATTTAACAGGATTTGGCATTGAGCCTTACTGAGCTAGTCGTAATCTGGATAGGAAGACATTTTAGAAATGATGCGTCAGCTGCACGTGTATAAGCCGCTAGCATTACTAAAAAGAAACGCGCCTGTTCTATATTTTACCACGCTAAGATTCAGGCCTCGATGGAATCTGTTTGTAGGGCCCGAACCCCGCCTTTTCTATCATTCTTGTTTATTTCTTTGTTGGTTCTGTTAGTCGTCAGCACCTGTCAAATTCATCCAAGCAGAAATCGATGAAGTTAGATGGAGAAGAAAAGAAAGCTTTTGCCTTGTGTACGTAGCATTTTCTTTGAGTTTTCCATGATACTGGCTACGTCTTTATTTACTGTTTTATATAACAGCATTAAATCGAGTTAAGAAGCGTGTCTCAGAGCATCTGGACTTAATTTCTTTTCTTGCTCGAAGCAATTGCTTTCTTTATACAGCCGTAAACAAGCATTAATATTAAAACGAATTACAAGTAATAAAATAACTATGACACACTGATAAGTATACACTGGCCATTCAGTTTAGAGTCAACTTTTGGTCTTAAATTTACAAACGCATGTTGGCTTATCAATGAACAGCTCCAAAAAAATCAATGAAACGGGTTCGAATCTCGACTGAGGTTTCTTTTTTTCACTTGACACAAATGCATTTGAGAAAAGCTCAAATCCACCTTTCCCTATAATAATAATAATAATAATAATAATAATAATAATGGCATGCCATGAAAGTTAGCGCAAGTTCGAATGGACGAATGAAAACTTAGGCAGACTACTTTCCCATAACTGTTTTGACAGTTCAGAACTCTTGAGCGATACTTTTGTTAAATAGTAAATACTGATAAAAAAAATTGTGATATATGGATGCCTATACAGTATTCATTTACTTTTATTTTAACCGGTTTCATTTACTTTTAGGTCTGAAATTTTAATAAGAACACACATTTGATTAATGCGGCGTCAATGAAAGATAGGCTTCCGTAGTGTCGAATGCGAGTTCAAGTCTTGTTACTTTATTTCAAATTTCGCTCCATTTGGTTTAGATATCGAAGGATGAATTGACCTATGGTGTTGTGATAAAAAGCAACAATAATATAATTCTTCTTATATGTGCCATGTACTTTAAGGTCGTGGGCGATAATGGCTCTTCACAACCTCCTGCCCTTTGTAGCTCTTTACAATGTTTGTCTTTTTACTATCCTCACTTCCTGGTGGGCAATCCATTTACAAAATTTAAGTTACTCACTGTCTCCTGCTGTCCTTTGAGTATCAAATTTTACAAGCTTTCTTTTCTCATTATGTGTCCCAACAAATTTCAAGCAAATTTGCAAGTGTCATTTTGTTGCTCTTTTGTTAAAAACTTCATCGTTCCTTACATGTTCCTTCAATGATATTCTTCTGTAGAATTAAATGGCTTTTGTCTCAGATCTCGTCTTCATCTGTGAGGAAACTGTCCAGAATTCATTGTCATTTAAGAGGTTGATATTACATAGCAGTTCAGTAAGATTTTGTTGTTTCTAATGGAATTTTCTGCTTCTTAATACATTGTTTAGCTTTTTGAGGAAACTGTTTGATATTCCACTACGCCTTCGGATTTAGATTTCAAATTTACCGTCATCTCACATATAAATAATAGTGGTAAATAGATAATAATAATAATAATAATAATAATAATAATAATAATAATAATAAAACTTGTAATAATGAAGAGTGTATTGCCCAAGAGTGTTGCAGCAGAGAGCATTTACCCACAAAACGTTATTTTCTGTTCCACTGTGTTATTCAAACAGGCCAGTTGCTCAGTTTTGCATTACATAGTTACGGTTGTTCAAGCTCCTACAATTCATCAGAAAAAGTTCCCTTTAAATAATTACTTATATTGAAGACTGTTAGTCCCCCTCCTATTTTTTCATTTTTGTAATACATTCATTTTAATCGCCACTAAGTATACTGTCACAAAATTATTTTTTTCTGTTTTAATAAAGAAGGGATAAATATTGTGTCTGTAAGTTCATGTCAAATCCATTTTCTTTGCTTTCGAATTTTGAATAAGGCATATAAACGCCATCTGATAGATGAATGATTGCACACGCTGAAGAAATAGCAAATACGCTTCTAAGATTTCTCTAACATTAGCAAAAATATTTTTCTCAAAAGTTCCGCACCAAACTAGTATTTACAAAATATAAAGGAATAGCAGATAGGAAGGTCGGTGATCGATAATTTTTCAAGAAGTCCTACCGTGAAATTCAGCATTCGACATTTGGCATTTTAATTGAGTCCCAACACGGACTAGTACCGCTACTGGGAGATATGTAACTACTTCTGTCTTCAAGGTTGCTATAGATAAATTTACTCAGCCTAGTTCATTCTGGAAAAGGTCAGATTGAGGAAAATTGTGGTTTGAAATTCGCAGGTATTGACTGACTTAAAAATAAGGATTTCAAATATCTACCCGAACTTCGAACACAGACCAGTGGTCCCAGTAGAAATTGATCGATTGAATCATTTTCTACGGTTTGTTAACCTTTTGCAAGTTATTTCAAGTCAGAAGATATTTTTAGTTTGTAAGAAATTTTTCTTAGATAATAATGATTTAGTTATCCAATTTTTACTAATTAACCCATAGGAGGAGAGATGGATTCATACTTCTCCTAAAGGTATTTGCGCGTAAGGGAATATAAATAACTGAAATGGAACTCGGCTATTCGATTAAAAAATCCGTGCCACTACTCATTACACCACCCGCACATTTAAACTTAGAGCACATGGTATTCCCAAGCGGTCACCAATCTAGGTACTGACCAAACCCGATGTTGCTTAACTTCGGTGATCATACAGGACCCGGTGCTTCAACGTGATATGGCGGTAAGGTTCTCCTGCAACCAAAGCTATGAGTATAAAACAAATTTTCTGTTGAGATGTTCTTTTCTACCTGTACAAAGATCTTTCGCCGGCAAAATTAAATAGATGATGTTGAGCAGGTGTGAATTTGGGATCTCGTCTTGGGTTGGGTCTATCAGGGAAGAAATCTCTGCCAGAAAGTAAACAAGAATTAAAAATAAAGCAACAGAGCGAATCGTAAAATGATAAAGAAGTCAAGCATTTTGATAAAAATAAAGAACAAGAAATGCAAAGGGAATTAAGAAAAGGCCGCGAAGAATGTTATCGATAAATATAAAAAGAAAATGAATAGAGACAAGAAAATAGCAATGGAAGACGACGAAAAAGTGATAAATAGAATGAAGATAAAAATGGAAAAAGACGAAAAAGGGATGAATAAAAAAATGATTATATATGTGTGTGTGTGCGCGTGCGCGCGTGTGTGTGCGCGCGCGCGCGCGTGTGTGTGTGTGTGTGTATTCTTTTATTTATCTTTAAAGATATAATTATATGTGAATTTTTACCTATATATATGATAAAATACTTTTAAGGTATGCTATTTTGCCCATAGCTGGGGGCGGAGAAGAGATGCTTTCATGCCTTTCCAAAGGGTATTAGCACGTAAGTAAACGTACAAGAACAATCTACATCTATGCTGATATATATATATATGTGTATGTATGTATGTATGTATGTGTGTGTGTGTGTGTGTGTGTGTATTCTTTTATTTATCTTTAAAGATATAATTATATGTGAATTTTTACCTATATATATGATAAAATACTTTTAAGGTATGCTATTTTGCCCATAGCTGGGGGCGGAGAAGAGATGCTTTCATGCCTTTCCAAAGGGTATTAGCACGTAAGTAAACGTACAAGAACAATCTACATCTATGATGATATATATATATATGTGTACGTGTGTGTGTGTGTGTGTGTGTGTGTGTGTCTACACACATATATATATACATACTTATATTCATATCATGAGGAAATTTTTCTCCCCGGAATCGATACTTCAAATATACAAATCAACCATTCGCCCTTGCATGGAGTATTGCTGCCATATATGGTCTGGGGCACCTTCTGTTTACCTCGGAGTTCTTGACAAGATCCAGAGATGGATATGTAATATAATTGGCCCTGATCTGGCGTCTCGTCTACAGTCACTCTCTCACAGACGCGCCGTCGCCTCTCTCTGTCTTTTCTACAATTACTTTCATGGTAATTGTTCCGATGAGCTGCTTTCACTGGTTCCCAGACTCCATGAATTCAAGCGCCCTACGAGTCTGGCATCCCGCTCCCACCCTTACACTGTAGAAACTTTTAAATGTAGCCGTCTCTTCTACTCTAATAGCTTCATACCTCGCACCTCTCGCCTGTGGAACACCCTTCCCAATTACTGTTTCCCTGAGAGCTATAATCTCCAACTATTCAAACGTAATGTCAATCGACATCTCCAGTTACCTTGATCTATCGACTATCCCTCTCCTCATCCTTTCTTCTATCACTCCTATCTGCTCTTGCTCCAAATATTCTGCATCACCCCTGCATCCTAGTGGCTTCACGCCTTGCTCGGGTCGTAATATTTAAAGAAAAAAATATTATGTGACATTAATGTTTTCGGTGCCCCACTACTAGCAGATATTACCTGTATTGTTTGCCTTATTCTATTAGTTTTTCTATTATGAATGCGAACAACATTAGGCTAGCCAGATAAGTGTTAAACAAAATAAAACACAATCTCACACCACTAATATGTTCTAAGTCCATATGAACGCGACCAAGTTTCTGTCTACGTAGGCCATGTCTGTACTTTATTCTGGCGAAAGGCTTTTATTTCCACACATTTCAGACATTTTTGTATGTGATTTTCAACATTTTGTGCATACCCATATCACCAGCGTCCTGGGTAAGACGATAAACTACATCCAGCAGCAAGGCCTCTGATCAGGAGGTTTTGAGGAGCGTGGAACGAGCTCTTAATTGTTGGTGTCCCCAGGTCCACCCTACCCCGGGGTGGTAGCATCTGTTAGGGTCCCAGCTATGGATAAATAGTTATCCCCCCCCCACACACATAAAATAGGTCAAAGTATTATGAAAGTATAAAAATAAGTTTTAATATCAAAACATTTTGTAAAAAAATTATTTATTACTCGCGATGAATTTTTGAAGAAAAAAATTACCAGCAATACATTTTTGGAGAAAAAAAAAGAAAAAAATATTACCAGCAATAAAAAATCTTGTCGGCATTAAATAACCCATTGAGGTGTTGATATGCCGTAAAACAAACCAAACCATCAAGCTTCTAATTTCAAACACTTCTGGGTAGCCGTAATTCCACTCTGTACATCGGCAAGCCCATTTTTTATTATATATTTTCTACATTTTTCGGGTGGTGCTTCTCAATCTCCATTACATACAGACACCATTTTCTACAATTAACTTATCTTATTTCTTTGTATGGCCTTTCAACTTTTTAACAGTTATTTCATTTATTAGTCTTTATTCTAAATACAATTTTACTTAATACTGAATCTAGTAATATCTCCGAGGTAAGTCTATTTATCGGTAGAACGTCAGTTTCTACCCGGTGCAAAAATTCATCTTCCATATTTTCTAATAGCAATTTTCCAAGCGTAGCTTAAATGTGGTACAAGGCCGAAAGTACGGGGTAGCCCAGTGCGGATCGAACTCACTACTCAGTCGTAATTGTTCTAGCAAGACAAGCTTGCTAACCATTGCACCACCTCGAGGTACCCTTATTTTCCAAGCAAAGCTTAGATGTGGCACAAGACCGAAAGTAGGGGGGTGTCACCCGGTGAGAATCGAAATCACTACACAGGAGTAATCGTTCTAGCGAGATAAGCTTACTAACCATTACATCACCTCGAGGTACCCTTATTTTCCAAGCAAAGCTTAGATGTGGCACAAGACCGAAAGTAGGGGGGTCACCCGGTGAGAATCGAACTCACAACACAGGCGTAATCGTTCTAGCGAGATAAGCTTACTAACCATTGCACCACCTCGAGGTACCCTTATTTTCCAAGCAAAGATTAGATGTGGCACAAGACCGAAAGTAGCCGGGGGCCACCGGGTGAGAATCGAAATCACTACACAGGCGTAATCGTTCTAGCGAGATAAGCTTACTAACCATTACATCACCTCGAGGTACTCTTATTTTACAAGCAAAGCTTAGATGTGGCACGAGACCGAAAGTAGGGGGTCACCTGGTGAGAATCGAACTCACTACACAGACGTAATCGTTCTAGCGAGATAAGCTTACTAACTATAACACCACCACGAGGTACCCTTATTTTCCAAGCAAAGCTTAGATGTGGCACAAGACCGAAAGTAGGTGGGTCACCCGGTGAGAATCGAACTCACAACACAGGCGTAATCGTTCTAGCGAGATAAGCTTACTAACCATTACACCACCTCGAGGTACCCTTATTTTCCAAGCAAAGCTTAGATGTGGCACAAGACCGAAAGTATGGGGGTCACCTGGTGAGAATCGAACTCACTACACAGGCGTAATCGTTCTAGCGAGATAAGCTTACTAACCATTACACCACCTCGCGGTACCCTTATTTTCCAAGAAAAGCTTAGATGTGGCACAAGACCGAAAGTAGGGGGTCACCTGGTGAGAATCGAACTCACTACACAGGCGTAATCGTTCTAGCGTGATAAGCTTACTAACCATTACACCACTTCGCGGTACCCTTATTTTCCAAGCAAAGCTTAGATGTGGCACAAGACCGAAAGTAGGGGGTCACCCGATGAGAATCGAACTCACTAGCTAGGCGTAATCGTTCTAGTGAGATAAGCTTACTAACCATTACACCACCTCGCGGTACCCTTATTTTCCAAGCAAAGCTTAGATGTGGCATAAGACGGAAAGTAGGGGGTCACCTGGTGAGAATCGAACACACTACACAGGCGTAATCGTTCTAGCGAGATAAGCTTACTAACCATTACACCACCTCGAGGTACACTTATTTTCCAAGCAAAGCTTAGATGTGGCACAAGACCGAAAGTAGGGGGTCACCTGGTGAGAATCGAACTCACTACACACGCGTAATCGTTCTAGCGAGATAAGCTTAATAACCATTACACCACCTCGAGGTACCCTTATTTTCCAAGCAAAGCTTAGATGTGGCACAAGACCGAAAATAGGGGGTCACCTGGTGAGAATCGAACTCACTCCACACGCGTAATCGTTCTAGCGAGATAAGCTTACTAACCATTACACCACCTCGAGGTACCCTTATTTTCCAAGCAAAGCTTAGATGTGGCACAAGACCGAAAGTAGGGGGTCACCTGGTGAGAATCGAACTCACTACACAGGCGTAATCGTTCTAGCGAGATAAGCTTACTAATCATTACACCACCTCGAGGTACCCTCTCCATATTTTCTAACATGCTGTCTTTTTCTCCCCTTTTAAAATGTAATCTACATGTAGAATAGCATTTCCTTTTATATATTCGATATCAAAATCAAAAGCTATTAGCATTATAGTCTATCTTAACATTCTGGAAGATGTAATAATTTCTGTGTCAAACTTGGGTCTGGCGAAATTCCGTCTTTTGAAATTTGCTACCCAAGATATATATATTTTTCACAATTAAATACACACTTATATTCATTAATGGTAATTCCAGATATCCTATGTCTGTTTAATGCCTGCTTGGGTCATTTATGTTTCAACTCTTCATCATTGGTTCTTACCCAAACATATATCATCTTGATATATTATAATATTTTTATGTCCCCCTCTTAGAACGTTTTCTATTATTTTCTGAAAGATAGCACTTGCTGTTTTCACCCCGTAAGGCATACAAATTCATCTAAGCAGTTCGTTTGGGAAGTTAATCATGGTGATTTTTTTTAATTGATCATCCATTTGGATTTGATTGTATGTGCTTTTTAGATCAATTTTAATTCCTGCTAGCGAATGTAATATATTTTGAGTTTTTAAGATAGGATAAAAGTCCAAACAAATCTTATGGTTTACACCTACTTTGAACATTGAAGTTAACACACAGAGGCGACAGACCGTTTCATACTAAACGCAATATTGAGTTTAGCATGAAACAGTCTGTCGCCTCTGAGTGTTGACTTCGATGTTCACTTTTATATTTACATACGCTCTATCTCTGATATTGAGCACTTTATCCCACAAACATAGCATATACCTTCAAGAATGTCGTTGCATGTCTTCATGGTGTGTTTGTCTTCGAATTTCAGTACTAATTTCATTTAATTTACCTCTATTTTTTCTTTGCTTTGGTTCGTACCAATTCATTATGAATTTCTTTTTTTCTTTTTCTTTTCCATTTATTTATTTATATTAATTGAAGTGAATTTAGCCCTCATTGTTTACGAAAAGTTTGAATTAGTTCTTCAAATTATTAATTTTTTTTTTTTTTTACTGACTCATGCAAAAAACTGAACGCCATGAGTCCAGGGCTCACAGATGAGAATCTCTTTGCATTCAAGAAGTGCATGTTGCGACTTAAACTAAGTTAAAACTTTATATTCCAGTTTTAACACAGCATTATCTTTCTATATTCTGAGATGAGGTATTATTTACACTATTTACATTATTCGGACTATTGTCCTCATCTTTGTCGCCATATTTATCACAACGTTTCGGCCGTTGTACGCTTCTTCAGGTGGTTGGAATGTCGAACTGAACCCTTTATTTCACTCACTGGGGTAGGATGTCCTACTTCCACGTGCCATGTCTAATGGATGACAATTATCAGTTATCTCCTGTTAATTCCCCTCTCCAAGTTCTCCACTGCCTTAACCGGGTATTGAACGCACACACTTTGGGTCCTGTTACGGGATCTAACTAATGCCTTTATAACTAATGTCATTGAGGACATCTGTGTATGAATTTTCTGGGTATTATAAACCTAATGTCTTCAGCAACGAATTTTTTACCAGTGCTCATATTGCAATTTTTGCTGTTATCATTTCATGTTTTTACCAGAGATCATACTGTAATTTTTGTTGTTATTATCGCTTTTCTCTGGTACTCTTTATTACTGGTTCCCATACTATATTCATTTCTATGTTTGGTTGGCTCAGGAGATTTTTGTGGACTAGCATATGTGCTGATTCCTTAAGTTTACGAATTTTCCAATGGTTTTCTTTGTCTATAATATCAGCCTGATCCCACATATCCACCGTGCCATGTGTCCTCAAGGACACATGGCACAGTAGATAAAAGCGTTAGTAACAATAATAGTAATTAGTTGTAATAAATATGGCGACAAATGAGAAGACAATAGTCCGAATAATGTAAATAGTTAACACTGCGTGCCTTGCACGTTGTTCATGGACTTCTTATAAGCTGCTTCTTTGTATTCTATTTTTTTGTGTGTGTGCCTGTGCGTGTTTATGTAATAGGATTAGATAGGCTCTCCTATCGCCTGGTCAATACTCTTTCCCTTGAACAGGAGTAGAGCCTCATCCCTTGTTTCTTGTTTAGGAAGGGGTTCATGGAACTTTTCCTTTCCTTTTCTCTGGCCTCTGTAGTAGTACTGTCATGATTCTCTCGTGATGTGTACAGTTTGTGACAATGTTTCTTTATTCTGAGGGTATCAGTTTGACAGTTTTCTGGTTGCTGTTCCCGACTGGTAGTTAGGAACCCTAACTCTTGCGTAGCGTCTTGAACGGCTGCTTTGATCAACAGTTCAATAATATAGGGGTGCCTGTAGTGCCATGTCGCGCACATCTGATGGGCAACCCTAAGGCCACATTATGTTGCACGTGTGCCAGCTCCATTCTACCCATTCCACGATTGCGTCTTGCATGAAATCGTCCCGTCGCTTCTAAGTGTTGACTTAAATGTTCACTTTTATATATATATATATATATATATATGAATAAAGACAAAAGCAAAAATTTAAATTGTTTAAAGACACCGACACTTATAATGCACAACAAAATATTTAAACATTTTTAAAGTCCCATCTATATATAATTATTTTATTTCATTAATACACAAGTAAATGTTTTAAAAAAGTAATTAAAAAAATGCTAAAATAATGAATAAAATGTCTCTTCAGTACATTATGAAAACCATTGAGGTCGTGTAAATGTAAGTTAATAGTGATATCCACGTGGTGGAAATAGGTTCGATTACTGACTTATCGGGACTAACGAACTGAGATTTCCACTGACAAAGACGAAGAAAAAAGCAGCAATTAAAGACATTGAGTTACAGACAGGATGCATCACTCCTAATGTTCCCATATAGCAATCCGCGATTAGAATAAAGGCTCCTGAAAGACAAAAAAATTTTTTTTTAGCACAAACTGACATTAAGAAATTTAAGTATTTAATAAAAGATAATTTTGTGAGTTGCTTTTAATATATGTACGAGGTCTACCCGGAATGAATCCAGCCATTTTGACTAAACTGATTACGCTGCCTTCACGTTACTTAGCAGTTAATCAGAAGCAACCTTACTCTGCATATGTAAACAGACACTAACGCGTTACGTTATTCAGTCAACAGTGAGAAATCATTGTATGAGCTTGTGTACTGTGCGCGTCGTATTTGCGATTACTGGTCAAAAGCTCCGAAACATTACAATTTCGTGCAACTTAAAACAAATTATTCAACACCCAAATGAAATCTGCCAAGATCAACCATACCTTGTCTGTTCTATTAACTATAACATGCTTAAACAAAGAATTTCTTCACAGATATGCGATATTTAACACACACACACACACACACACACACACACACACACACACACACACATATATATATATATATATATATATGATTAATGTATATTTGGGCATGAACATTTCTTTTAAGCATCTTTCATTAAATATGAAGAGGCAAGGACAATTTAAAAAAATTTTTTTAGTTTTTCCAGCATTCTTAAAAAATAAAAATAATGAATAAAATGTTCCTTGTCCGTTATATTTAACAAAAGATTATTATATATATATATATATATATATATATATATATATATATATATATATATATGTGTGTGTGTGTGTGTGTGTGTGTGTAATATGATAAAGTTAATTGGTACTCCGTATGGATAATTCCAGGGAGGATATAAATCCCGACAGCTCAATGTAATAAACAGAGCAAGTAATAATTAATTAACAAGTCGGAGACTTCAGAAAGTCACGGTAATATTTTATATTTCGCGAGACCGATAAAATTCGGTTTCACTTCGTCAGACCTTGCGGTTTCAAAACAATGAGTGGATTCAAGAATTCTTCCACCGAAAAACGAAATGAAAAACAAGATTAGCGATAAGATTAAGATAGTTACATAGAGTAGGAAGAGGAGGAGGAAGGTATATATCTCTAGGAGATATGACGGTTGTGGCGTTGACCTCTTATTCACCGGACAAGAGAAAAGAATAAAGAAAGAAGGAGAGGCAGGAAAACAGAAGAGAAGAAGGGAGAAATCGGTGATCTTACACATTTTTCACACAGATAATTACACTTACACATATGTGCCTATATCCATACACACATTCGCATCCATCTATACATATGTGTTTTCACGTAAATGGGTCCACCCGTATGTATGTATACACGCACATATACAACCATATTCATCTATCTATTTGTATTCATATACACTTATGCACATATTTGACTAGTACATTTCTAAAACAGTACTTAGATAACATGTAAGATGTCCTCAAATACATTACTAATCATGTAGCTATAAAGGGACACTCAAGAGTGTTTTCATCAAGTGACCCGATATATACACAACGCTCAATCTATGCACTTACTTATGAGAGAAAACTACATACAGCATACGTATACCCATGTACCTATTTACACAGACGGGGGTTCACCTGTTTGCATGTACAAAAACTATGACCCAAGACAGATCCAAAACAAAGAAGTACCATAGTATGCTTGTGCATACACGTACATGAAGGAGAGAGATATTTGCGAGAGTTAGGTGCCCTGGTGAGAGGGTTTTTGTAAAGTGAGGTCACGTGTGATGAAGGGGGGATTTCCATGAACGATCATAGGTGGTGATTATGTATACACACATAGATACACATACACACGCACATATATATACACACATACTCACATATATACGCATATATATACATATACATACACACACGCACACACACACACACATATAATATATATATATGTGTGTGTGTGTGTGTGTGTATTTCCTCAGACATGCATATACACTTATCCACATACATATACATATTCACATGCACAAGTACATGTAAAGTATCCAAAAGCCAAGTTTGGGTTAAACTTCTTGAAAATTGATGTTACTTTAGGAATCCCAAGCGGTTCTTATGTCTGCATTTCAAGACAATTTCGTTTCGTCGATTAAGTAGTTCGTTGGTGTTTTCATATTTGATTATTAGGATTTTTAGTTGATGGATAGATCACATCTGTCCTTGAAATTGTTGGGAGTTTGGGCCTTACACTTGATCCTCCATTTTAATTGTGGAGTGAAGCCTCCATCAATGAGGTCCCAATAGTGTCTGCTGTCTTTGAGATTCATTATTGAAGGAATGGCCGTGACTGTAGAAACGTTGTTTCCAATTTCCCATTGAAATTCCGATGTAAATTTTTTTCTATTTTACATTTTCCTTTGGAAAAATCGTAGCTTCATATATATATATATATATATATATATATATATATATATATATATATATATTATATTCCTAACAGAATTACTACTCTCCCAAGAAAACGTACACAACTGTATCAAGAAATCAAAAGAAAATGGTTGAATCTGTCAATACAACAATAAAAACAATATTTCCACACGTAATTTGACGTAATTTTCAGTTGACAATATGAATACCATAAAGTTTTTCTCAATTCTTCTAGTTGCTAAGGACATTTTGTTTTGTTGTTAATAGTTACTTTGTTTTAATAACTTCATTTCGTTTTTGCTTTGAAAAAGTTCACATTGGACGAAACTAATACAGTTTTCCTCTTGTCGTTTACATATATATATATATATATATATATATATATATATATAATACCAAATCACCCCATATGAGGTGATTTGGGATTTTATTGTTTATTAATTATTTGCTGTGTAATAATAAATATATTGATCTCTTTTTGTGGATCAGTTTTAATATTTTATATGACTAAGATCCACTTATATCGCAAAATATAAACTACGAGCAGTTTCAATACTCCTGTATTACGAAGCAAATTTTGTTCCAACTTCTGATTTTTTCTCAAAAACTAAAAGTACAGGTGAAACACTGTGGATAGAAATAAAGAAAATTCAACGAAGAAGCCAGTGATGAGCCTAAGTGAACTTACTGTTTTGAAGAGTGAAAGGGACGTTGAGTTAAGTGGGTAGAACACCGAGGGGTGTATTCTGAAGAGGTATAAAATACGCTCAGGTGTAAATAAAACACCATTGCCTGAAGAAGTATTTTTTATCATTAAAATGGCTGAATATTTTCTGGACACATCTCGTATTGAGACTGTAATGGTGTCAGCATGCATTTAAAAATCATTTATCAAGATTATGAAATGTTGGTTATTCGTTTTAACCTGTTTTTAATGGTAAAGATAGACAACATTTTGCTTTTTTTTTTTTTTTACAGTAAGGTTCACCCTGTTCAAGGTCGGGGAGTAGTAGGTTACGTTAAAGAGTGGTTTATATCGATAGGAGGGGGAAGATAACGGTTAACTCTAGGTTTGAACAGGTTATGATTGTAATGTTCGAGAAACATCCTCTTGGGAGTCCACGGGGCAGTGGTTCGCGGAAAGAAGCTGTTCAAGTGGAACTTACTCCTCACCGATGGAATACGTAGAGAATGTGAGTGGTTTGCTACAATATTGGTGGCATGGCGGGTCCTAGCCGTGAAGGTTTAAATTCGCGGGACCGGGGAATATAGTTCATCCGAGCCTTTTTCCGTTGAAGCAGCGATACATTAGTGAGGGACTCGCTATATCCTGTCTGTGAGAGAGAGGTTGGAGGGTAGAAAATAATTCTTCTCCAGCAAGGACCCAGATATGCTTTTGAACTCAAGGCTAGAGAATGAGGACCAGGCACCTCCCACCCAAATATGGCAACAGAACTCCATTTTCGGCCTGATCTGGTTCTTATTAAGGTAGAAGATTGAATGAGGAGTCAGGTATTTACTGGAGCGGTAGAGGGAGCCGATTGTTTTACCTGCATCGTGTGTATACGCGTGAACTCGTGTTTGTGTATTCGGGTGTGTAGAATTATCTCTGTGTATGCCGGGCTTGTATTAACCTCAGTGTCTTTGCGAACTTACCTGCAATAAGACTCAAAAAGCAACACAAGAACCTTCGTTTTCTTAAGTTAAGAAATTCGGTCACTTCACCAACAGTGTAGATGATTAACGTCACAATACCAGCGACAAGTGCAAACATATGAAGACCTCTCGACGTTAACATTTTGTCTGAAAGAAAATAAAAAGGTTTTAATAGTGTTAAGTCAAGGTTTGGTAACGGGCTTATGTATTTCACAATATATCAACACTTGTCGGGTTCTCCGACGTCGAAATCTTTTTTATTTTTTACTATATTTTAGTATATAGGTAAATACTGATTGGCTTTATACTTGAATCTATAGTTAAATGTTATACATGAGTTTGTCGGAGTTAATTTCCTTAATTTCCTAATTGTTCACTAGGGCACGCTCTCCCTACACTATAAATATTGGGCGATTTCTTGCCTCGTTCTCACCTTTCATGTCTTCGTTTTCATCGAACACATCTACAATGTAAGCTCTCAAGAATATTGCGGTATTCCCATTTGTGGGAGACGCCATGAACATTATACACACATACACGTACGTACGATCATTCACCAAAATACAAACTCTTTACGTTCACACACAAACACAAATGTTAATGTCTATGTCCATTGTAAATTTTGTTGTTTAATACATATATTTGTTGGTATATATATATATATATATATATATATATATATATATATATATATATATATATATCGGTCATGTTGGTTTTCTTTACACTTCTTTATGGTGGATTCAATCTCTGAGTCTGCCATGTTCTTGTAGTGGACCTTCTTCTAGCAGGAATAAAAGCACGTGTTCCTAGTTTAACAACGCGTAAACTCACAGTCCGCTATAAGTTTATAGGTAATCATTGATTGGTTTTATACTTTAGTCTATAGAAAAGCCATTGGCCATGTTTATACTTAAACCAACAGTTGAATATTGATCGTGTTTGTAATTGAGTCCGTTAGCAAACAGTGGTAAGATGTTATACTTGAATTTATATGTAAACAATAGGTGGGTTATATTTGAGCCTATAGCCAAACATTGGTCGATTTTATACTGGAGTGTGAGCTTCAAATTGAAATATTGTACCGCAAAATCAACTCTAGTCAAGAAGAAATTAAATCAAATTAAATTTCAGTATGATGTACTAAATTATACATTTCAGTATCTCAATCGATTCTTTTGATTACTATATTTCAGCGTATGGTTTGATTTGATTTGGTTTACGGCATATCAACACCTCAATGGGTTATTTAATGCCGACAAGATTTTTATAGCTGGTACAGAAAGGAGGCACGGTGGAGTAATGGATAGCGGTTCGGGTTGAGGAATCCATTACATTCACTTACGTGGTAATACCTTTGTGAAATGTATGAATCCTCTTCTCCTTCCCCCAGCTCTGGTAAATATTTGGATGACCTACCGCAGAAAGAAATGGCAACCTACTACAGGAAAAAATCTGCCTCGTCAGTCATGTATCGTAAGATACATGATCGCCAAAGTGTGTATCACGCATGGCACATAACTAAATAAAAGGCGGGTGATATTTATGGAATGCCAAAGAGATCACGTTAATATATAAAATAATAAAATAGTTATTTATGGGTTATTATCTTAATCAAATATGTTTCCTTTCTTTTCCTGATGCTTGCTTCTTTTGAATTTATTTATAAATAAAAATCCATGTTCCACATAATAAAACATGTCACGCCAAAAACATTTTATTATCAATTACCAAATCGGTTACCGCCTGGATGCGAGTCGACGTTCGCTCGCCTTAACAAATAAAAGGACGTCAACTCGTCTCAGAAAGTAAATAAAATAAAATGATAACAATATTTTCTTGAAAAAAAAAAAAAACCTAATTAAATCTACATTTTTTTTAATATTCCTACTTCCGGTTATATACTGTCTCCAAGTTATAAAAAAATCCTTCATCAAATAAAAAGAATTTTTCAAAGATTACTTTTAATTTTGATTCTTTTTGATAATCAGCCTGTGGAATATTAATACTAATTCTCGTTGAATCTTAAATAAAACCAAATTTTGTCAAAAAATTGCAAGGATTTTATTTTGTAACAGGTTATTTACATACAAGAGCAAAATTTTATTTTTTGTTTTTTTTGTTTCGTTTTTTTTTTTAATTTTTAAGTTTCGGATAATCTGAAAAGTCAGACTATCTATGGAGGACACGACGCGACACAATTGAATGTCGAATAAGCGAAAGTGAGTAAGTGATGTTTTTTTTACATTTTTTATGCAAATTAGTATTTAAATTATTTTAATATATGTTATATATTTTGAATAATATAAAGTTAGGGATTTAACTGTTTTTTGCTTTTTTTTATTTGTTTTTTTGAGCTGTTTTTTTTTATGTTCAATTTTTAAAAAATTTTGTAGTCATTCATCTTGATTTGGGAAAGTAGTAATTCTTTTTAGGAATGGAGATATTGGAAAAAATCCGGGGCGCAGATTTTGATAAAAATGCGATAGCAGCATTCTTGGGAATTTTTCCTTCCTGGGAATGCCGCCACTTTCTCTTTTAATAAGCTTGCCATTCTTTAGATCAAAGTTGTAGTTGAATTTATTTCTGTGGATAACTAATGCATTTGATATTGTTGTGTGTAAGATCGGTTTCGTGTTCATAGATAAGTTTTTTATTTTTTATTTTATTTCTGTAATTTTTCCCGTTGTACTGTGGGTAACAGTCCTGGCAATTTATTTTTATATATACCTGCTTCAGAATTATTAGTGTTATGGGTTTTTCACCTTTGATAACAATGTTTATAGACAGAAATTTGGTTTACCGATGAGGTCTCCTTTAGTGACGTTTTGACTTGTCTATTATTGGAATTTCTGGGAAGTGGCCCAGAAGTAAATGAGGGATAATGACGAAGAAACACGCGTGTTATATTTAAGGAAACAAGATAATTAATTTATTTACAAATTTACACATTTGAAGTTATCAGTAGGTTGTTTCAGGAAAACGAATCAAATATTTAAAGTTCGTAATTTCGATGAATTGTCAAGAAGGGAAAATGTTTAAATCAAATCACCAGACACAAAGTAATATTCCACAATGTTTGAAAACAAATTGAGAGAGTTCGTTTTTCATATAAAAGTTATACGGTTGTATTCAACATGAATAAAATGATATATTCTAAAGTACTTAGCTTTGGAGTTGAATAGAGTTCTTTGAAATTGTCCTACTCTCATTAGAGACTGATAATGTATCCGCGTGTAATTTGACACCAGCGTTATTCAGATGCGTGTAACTCGGCTTCTTTCTGCCTTTTTACTCCCTCTCTCTCTCTCTTTCTTTCTCTCTCATTGTCTCCCTTGACTCAACTTTTTCTGTCTATCTATATCAAAAAGCGATTTCATTTTGGTTCGTTACTATTTTCTCAGTTTGTAAGCCGCTCCCTATTCCATTGGTCAAAATAAGTTTTTGCATCGAATCGTAAAACTTGGCCCGCTTTTTTTCTTTTTTTTTTTTTTTTTTTTTTTCCAGCCCGGAGCTAATCCCTTTTTCTGTTGATCAAAACAAATTTTCGTACAGGCTCGCGAATTTCAAAACAGTGAAGAAAAGAGAGTTATTTATATTTCGTATTCATCACAGTCCTTATAAAAAAATACTGTGATTTGCAGTTGTGGAAAAATCTTAGCAGAGCACGTAAAGTCTATTACACTTACACACACACACACACACACACACACACACACACACACACACACACACACACACATATGTATAATTACACATATACCTACGTTTACAGTACGACTCAGTTTCACGTATGTGTTGTGTACGTAATCGGTCATATGATTGATCGTATCTCTTTAAGTAGATCATTTCTTCATCTATAGCTCTATAGATGTGTGTTTATTGACAAAGTTATATCTTGGCAGCAAATTCTCCTTTATGCATGTACTGTTGAATGTAACAAACAAAGAATGATGGTTACGCTCTTTTACTCAATTTTGGTGGGTTTTGAACCACACGTGTCACATTATGCATAAATGAATAGTCCATACTTGAATTGGTTAGTGATGATAATTCTATTAGTTTTGGGTTTTAAGAGGTAAATGGTGACTGTTGTTAAATTTTAATTATATACTTGTCGTTTCGTTTGTTATGCGTTGCAATAATTAATTTTCTGTGAGAATATTTTTTTTCATTGACAATGTGACTAAGGAAGTCGGTATTACAAAGTACTGGTTTAATATTTGATAAAATATATAACTGAGTTGAATTGCGTGCATATGAAGAGAAAGAAATAAAGTCAATGCCTTATTTCAGACGAAACCCCCGACCTAGGAGAGAAACGTTTTTTGGGGCCCCGTTGTGAACTCTGACATTTTTTTTCAGCTCTGTTTTATGGCCATCCGCCATTTTTTTAATTATTTTTAAATTAACGTTACATTGTCAGTCATCAACTAATAATATAGATCGTGTATCTGGAAGGCTGGTGCGCACAACGCAGTACCCCACCCCCCGACGAGGTTGGGACCCCAAAATGTCTACCTTCAGCAGCGTGTTTTTGCTTTTTGTATTTTTTACTATTTTTCTAAGTAAGTTATATTGCCAATCATCAACTGTAATAATCGACAGAGCCGATGCTTATTAACCCGAATCTCTCATCCCCGTGGGGTCATCCATGCCTACTGGGGAGTGGGGGGGGGGCAGAAATGCTAATTTCAGTAGCGTTTATTTTTTTAAATTGTAATTTTCTTTCGGAACAGTTCTTTTAAATCAATTAAATCAAAAAAGGTAATATATCTCGGTAAAATCATTTTTTATTCCGAGATCATTCACTAGGGAGAATGGCTAATTTTTTTTTGTACTAATAGTAATACTAACTAGAAGTACACAGCTAGTAATTAAAATACAATTTCTAGTCCCTATTTTTTACATTTCTAGAAAAATAAAACCGAGAAAATGGTATTTTAAAAAATAAAAAGGTTTAAAGATTTCAACACATGAAAACTTTACCCAAAAATGAAATACTGTTTCTAAAACAAATTTTTAGGACAATCCCGTTGGTGTTGTGTTGGGATTTGTAAAACTGTTTTTAGCGGAGATGCGTCAGCATTCTTTATGGAAATGTGAAAATTTGCGACTTAAACAATTTTTTTTCGAGTATAATTTAGTCATGAAAATATCAAAGTTTCGGGGCGGGGACAGGGATCCTAACGCCGGCCCTTGTTGAATATTGGTGTCTAGAGGTGCCGGTAATGAACTGAGTTCAGACTTTGGTTGAAACAGTTTATGTTCACTTTTCACTAATACCATTAAGAAAGAATATATCCATTTATTTTCCTCTCTAAACTATATGTAAAATAAAAGGGCAGACGAGGTTATTTAGCTGTTATAGGTAACCAGTTTACGATATAACGATTTTCTAAACGTAGCTTAGCTATGGCACAAGACCGAAAGTATGTAATTGATTTAGTGAGACAAACTTACTAACCATTATACCACTTCGTCGTACACAACCAGTCTAAGATATGAACAACTCTGAAGCCAAGGAGTTAAACACCCTTGTACTTTAGGCTACTTCATACTAACTTTTTTTTTTTAAGTTCGTGCGTAGCAATTGTGAGGGTCCCAGTTATGGGTAAATAGGAACCAAAAAAAAAAAAAAAAAAAACACTATGAAAGAGTAGGAATGCATTTTTGTAGTAAAAATACCAATATGACCAGCAGTACATTTTATCTGTAGTTGAAGCCATAAAAAAAACCGAGTTCGTATTCCAGTCTGGTTTGTTACAATCACTTATGCGCAAATATCCTTGGGAAATCTATGAACCCACCTCTCTCCTTAGTTATGGGTTAAATAGTATGACCTGTATCTGAAAAAAAAAGCATTGTTTTTTCTCAAAAAATTGTTAATGCAATATCCACATACAAAAAAAAATTACTCTTACAATCCTAATATATTTCTGGTTGATAATCCGTAAAAAATATTGATTTTTCGTTCAATTCGTATATATTTACCCCAACATTGTTGATGTGCTACTCTCTCAATAAATAATAATAATAATAATAATAATCACTTACCAGTTACGACCGGGATATCCTGACATTTTGGCATACATGCTACCCAAAGACCAACGTGATTCATTGCACCGATACTCCACCAATAAGGGAGGGCAACTGCAAGGATTTCTAACATTACACCCAGAATTAAAAGATACAAATTTGTACTTCCAAAAGAAAGTGCCATATTTAGTTGTGGATATTAATTCTTTTTCGAGCTGTCGAATATAGTTCTTTATATTTAACGAGCTTTTCCTCTTAATTTGATTTGATTTTTTTCTAAAGATACTTGTTGTTTCCAAATAGCTCTCACTAAGAAGTTTTGTTGTGTGATGTCGGGAAAAAGGTTGCTTAAGTTTTTGAGAGCTTGCTTAAATAGCCAGAGATAATTTAAAATAAAATTAAAAATATATTTAAAAAAAAAAGTATCCTATAAATTTGAAAGAATTAGAAGCTGGCGCCAACACCCAAACCTACAAAACCGGTTTTCGTTTTTTTTTTTTTTTTTCGAGTTTGTTCCTATTTTAAAAGAAGTAGGTTGCTTCGACGCTTTTTTCCCCACCTCTCCATCTCTTTTTTCGCTCTACTCCCACATCTTTTCACTCTATTTCAACCACTTCTTCTTTCCTCGCGTATCCTTTATGCTCTCGTCAAATATTTTGTTTGCTTTGAGATTTCCTTTCTCTCTGTTCTCCTCCTCCTCCTCCTCCTTAATTCACATTTCTTTCTCGTTCCTATGTTTTTCATTGTTTGGCCTTTATATTATTCGTTGACACCTGGCTGAGTTTTCTCATTTCATAAGACTTCTTTTTTTTTTTTCATCATTAAATATGTAGAGGATGTGATAATTATGAGTTGTTTCGCAACGCTTCTTACTATAAATGTCTTTTCAGTACTTTCATTTAATGTACTCACTACACAAGTGGTCTTATTACAATTTTGGTGTCTGCAAATCTTGCAAAAGGAACTTAGTCTGCACAAGGGAAGATCATGTAAAATGAAGCCCCCCCACACACACACACACGCGCGCGCACACACGCACACCTGGAAAGAAAAATCATTTTTTAAAAATGAAAACAGTAAATACCATTAAGAAGCTTCTTCCTGAAGGAATCGGTCCGTTTGACTCGAAATGTCTTATTTCGCTCCTTAACGACTTGAATCAGCCTGCTATCCCAGTAGTAGAGTTCAAGGCCATAAAGGTCACGCCACACTCCGATTCTAATTCCCAATTTCCCCTGAGTGATATTAATCAATCATTCAGTAATCACCCTTGCATATAGACTACAGCCATATTTAGCAACTTTCCTAGAGTTAATGTCACAATAAAATCGCCCAGCCTCCTGTGCTGTGGTCAGGTTAATAGGAGTAGATAGGCTCATTTATCGTCCGGGATGCACTCTTTACATGTTTATTGAACAGGAGTAGCGGATCATCCCTTGTTCTATGTTTAGGATATTGTTCACCGGTTCTTTCTGGCGTGGGCTATGATGAGTTAACTGTCCTTTTTTGGTGATCAGATTAAGCAATGGCTGCGAATTTCATTATGAGGGTACCAGGTGGATAGTTCGCTGGCTGCTGCATCTCGACTGGTAGTTAGGAACCCGAAGAGAAGCTGTTCTGATCAACAGTCGCATAATATCGGGGTATTTGTATTATCATGTTGCGCATCGGTCCTTGCATGTATTTCCAGTGGGCAAAGCCGAGGTTACATCATTCTTAAGTCTCAACCACGCTCTAGCTAGTTTGTATTGCCATTGACGACAGATAGTGATTATTATATTGGCCCTTTTTCTTTTTCTCTTTAAAATAAATTTCATGGCAAATACAATGAAAAGAAATACCTAAAACCAGTAAGCAAAATATTATCTATCGCATTCAACCTTTCTTTCTCCAATTTTCTTGTTATCAGTTCCAACTTCAGCAGCGTAGAATCTTTTCTTCTGGAACGGTCGACAGATATCAATCGTGAAAAGAATTTAAATTCTTCCATTGCTACCAATGAATTTTATGTTCTAGGCTTTCTTCCTTTTTGTCGAAAAGACTCTAACATTCACATGAATGGCCTTGCTGTTTAAACCCGGGATAATCTTCCAATGACAAGGGAATTGTCGCTTGAGACCCTAGACAACTCTTTTATGTGCCTTCGACTTTCATTATTACACTCTTTTAGCTATCCTTCTCAGAACTGCAATATATTAGACAAAATTTCTGACAGTATAGAAACGGCACTTTCTCTTCATCCATCTGAAAACATCTTCGTGTTTGGTGATTTTTATGCACATCACGGTAAGTGGCTTAAACACATTAATTTTACTGGATGTTGCCGTATTCAGACTTTCAATTTTTCCATTGCTCAATTCCTTTCTCAAATCGTGGATTTTCCTACTTCCGTGCAACATTCTTCTTTGCTTGATTTGTCCCTTGACTCTTCTCCTAACTCTTGTCGAACATCCCAACACTATCCTCTTGGAAACTAAGATCACTCTGTAGTATCTATTGATATTTCATTCATGTCATCTTTTAGATAGTAACATCCAGTTCATAAGACCTCTTTCCGCTGCCAGCATGCTGACTGGGATTCATTTCTTCGAGACACCCCTTGGGTTGATATTTTTTACCTTCCCATTGAGAAATACGCCAGTGAGGCCTCTTCTTAGGTCAAAGCCGGCATAGTTACATTTATTCTTTCTCAGGCATGAAACCTCAATCTTCTCCATGGATCTTATCAGCATGCTCTGTCGCTATACCAGCGTGACAGTTCTGATCACAACAGACATCTATTCATGGTCGCACCTAATAAATGTAAAGAT